GCTAAAAATGCTGATGTATTGATTTTAGTTCATCTGCGAGCGTGAGAACTCCTCTTTGGGTCCACGAGTGGCTGAAGAGGCTGTAGATCTGGCGTCTCTTCTAGATGTTGCAAATGAATCACGTGCTCTGAAGGTGAATCGATGCATGCTGGTATCTCCACCGGCGAGAGCGTAGGCTGCGCAGATCTCACGTGCATTTGTAGGGCTGGTGGTTGCTTGTCTAGTGCAGCCGCGGTGCTGCCACCGGTCATTGGCATAACCTGAGCTGACTGAAGAATATTGTCTGGGGCTGGTGTGTTATGACAGAGTCCCGGACCAATGTACCACAGGTCAGGACTACAGGCTTCTGGAATTTGGCAAGGAGACAAGAAACGAGAGATTGAAACTACTTACAGGCGCGTTGAAAGACGGCCGTATTGCATGCTATATCGTACGCGTCTTCGACGATCTTGTCGATTTTATTCTTTTTCCGGATCAGTATGTCTTCAATATAAGAATCTACTAAAACAAATTCGCGCTTGAGATCAAGTTCGAAGGGCAGAAGTGGTCCGCTCACCAGATCGACCAAAATCTTCCCAGCGAGGAGAGCTCAAAACTACCCTCAGATGCTCGTCGCTGCTTTGGAAGCTTCAGAAATTGATCTCGTCTTGACCCTCTCCTTTTACTGTGTTCTCTCTGCAAAATAGTACTGGAGGAACACGATACTTCTGACTCTATTGTCTTATATCAAAATGACTATTTCCGGCAGTCTTCTACTGTGTTACAATAGGATAACATCTTATAGCTCCCACTAATACTCAATCCTAGTTGCTCTTTTCAACCCTTCTTCTCCCATGTGTCCTTCTTCCAATGCAAGAGTGCCTCGCAACAACAGCCTCTCTTGCTGTGAGATGTTGCTCCATATAGCCAGAAGGTCAGGCTATTTAGGTTGCGCTATACGTATGTGCAACCATATCCAATTAACATGTTGCGAAGAGTGAGAGCAGGCACTTAGGAAACCATCACTGGTATGTAGTGGTGAGTGCCAGTTAGTATGTCTTGAAACCAATGAGGTGATTTTTTTTAAGACAGAATGCTGCCGGATTTGTTTTTTGAAACACTTATAGTGGTTTTCCTTTTCCCTAACTATAGGAATATCTTTCATAGCCTCCCTTTCTTCTTGGTCTGTACTTCCATGGCCTTTGTGAGCTTGATGCTACGGTCTGATGGCGTAGCCGTCTGGTACACAATAAGAAGATTGAATTTGTCGAGAACAGTTTTTGGCATACTTTTGCTGGTGAATAAAGGTCGTTCGTTCCGACCTCGACCGCCTTTCTGCAACTGGCAGTGTTACGGCGTCGGTCGTACGGGTGGCACCGGTGGGAGTCCTCACCACGAAACTCGAGGTTGCAGGCACTACGCCTTGACAGTACTATCATGTAGGTCCTTCTGCAACCCTCGACATTGGCGGATGTGATGATAAGGCTTCTGACAGTAGCCGCACACTTCGTCATACGACACAGTGTTGGGCGTGGTCTACACAGGATCAAATAGCGCACGCTCCGCTTTGGTGATGCGGCTCTCAGGTGTGCCTTTTGCTAAGGAGTACGTGTTTCCCTTTCATCTTGCGGGTTTTGTCCTCAAATCTCATTTTGAGCTAGTCGTACGAGGTATACTTCCGCCAGCCTTTCCATAATAGTTTTGATGAATCCGACGACATCTTTCCTACATATGGCAGTAATCCGTCGACCGAAGATCGCTGGTCTGGCAGTGGTCGGCCCAGACAGCTGTTTAGTAACATTTTGGCAGAACAGTCCAGTCGACTAGATTTACGATAGTGATCACGTTGCGTTCGAGTTCAATGCATAGTATGTGTATACAATATGATTTCCTTCCGTAATATACGCACAGGTGTCAACACCATCGATAGATTTTATGGTATAACATTGCTGATTTATGTCTCAATTTTCTGGAGTGGCTTCGGCTTGTATTGACTCCAAAGTGCGTGAATATGAAAGGAAATGGGTCGTTTAATTGAACTGTAGCGGTAGTTTTAGTGTCACCTAATCCCTCAACTAAGTTCCTCTATGTCAGAACGCTGTTGTACGGTTTTATGTGAAATATAACGATTTAAATTCGGAAAATTGTTTGCGATTGTCTCAAATATGTATCCTAAATAAACAATATCACGAAATGAAAACGAAATTTCACCAAACGTTCCATAGCGCCCGAGCCGATATTACATAACGCCTCGACCTCAAAAAAAAGTAGCGACCATCAAAACTGCAACCAGCAAGAGTTTGCAGCTTGCCTTTGTGTTTCCTCGCTGTCATGGGTCGTATCACACGGCTAGAGCTCGAGAACTTCAAGTCGTACGGCGGGTATCACATCGTAGGGCCGTTCCACCGCTTCACTGCCGTTATCGGTCCCAATGGCAGCGGCAAAAGTAACCTCATGGATGCCATTTCCTTCGTCCTGGGTGTACACTCGCGTCAGCTGCGCTCCAATCAGCTACGCGACTTGGTGCACAGGTCACCGACTGACACTGCTACCACCGATCGTTCGGCGTTCGTGACGCTCGTGTACGAGCTCTCAGCGGGCGAGACGCCGCCCTCCAAGTCACTGGCAGCCCAGAACCAACAGAAAGAAGTAAAATTCACGCGTCTCATCTCGGAAAAAGGCGTGGGCTCGTACCGTATCGACGGCCAGGACGTGAGCTCCGAGAGCTACCAGAATCAGCTCAAGGAGATCGGAATTTTAGTAAAAGCTCGCAATTTTTTAGTTTTCCAGGGAGATGTCGAGTCCATTGCCAGTAAAAGCCCCACGGAGCTCACAAAACTATTCGAGCAGATTTCCATGTCGGATGAACTTAAGAACGAGTATGAGAGGCTTTTAAAAGAGAAGGATGCGGCCGAAGAGAACACAATTTTCGCCTACAAAAGGAAGAAGGGGCTCGTGGCGGAGAAGAGGCTTGTGAGAGAGCAGAAGGAAGAAGCTGAGCAGTTCAGACAGAAGCAAGAAGCTGTGGTAAGGTCATAAAAGTGGGATATAGGGTCAGAATGCGTACTAAATGGGTGTATTGCTGCTTGTAGAATGATCTACGGGTAGAGCACTACTTGTGGCAGCTTTTCCAGGTTGAAGACGACATTAAACAACGAGAAGAGACCGTGAGGCAGTACCAGGATGCTCGACGTACTTGCAAGCAGAAGGAAGACGCTGTAGCACAGACGTACAATGAGAAGATGAAGGGGTTAAACGCCAGTCTTCGCGAGGTGAAGACGAATCGCCAGCAGATCCAGGACTTTCAGAACGAGATGGAAGATATCCAGCCTCAAGTGATTCGTCTACGAGAACAGACTCAGTATTCACAGAGGAAGATCGTCGAGTCGGAGACAAAGGAGAAGACTATGAAAGAGCGGCTGGAGGGGAAGTCTAAGGAGATTGAAGCCTTGAAGAAGGATCTGGAAGCTCTGGAAAAGGCCAAAGCTGATCTCGACGCGAAACAGGCCCAGGAGGCGAGTCAACGAGGCGAGGAAGGCTCGCTGGTGCTGGAAGGCTCACGTTTGGAGGAGTATCATCGGATCAAGGAAGCTGTACAGGTCAAGACAAACGTATTGCGAGATGAACTCGAGTCGATCTTACGTCAGCAGACCGCAGATAAGAACAAGGTGGAGACACTCAGCCAGGAACATCAGGAGAACATGAGGATGATCGAAATGCTGACTGACGACCTCAAAAAAGCTGACGAGCGTGTCATCAGTATGCAGCGAGTCATTTCTGACACGGAGCGCGATATCGCAGAAGCTAAGATGAAACTGCAGAATACTGACGACGAGAAACGCGGTCAAGCGGAGGAGAAAGAAAAACTGACAAAGCGGTTGGAGCGCGTCAACAACAAGTTACAGGATCTGAAAGACGATAAGCGACAATCGCAGGCTGAGGCGAAGAGAGCGGACACACTGGAAACGCTGAAGCGGCTGTATCCTGGCGTTCGTGGTCGTCTTGTAGATCTCTGCAAGCCGACTCAACGCAGATATAACATGGCTGTGACTGTGGCGACTGGCAAACACATGGACGCGATCGTAGTGACCGACTACAGAACAGGACAAGAGTGTATTCAATACCTTCGAGACTCTCGTGCAGGCAGCGCTCAGTTTATTCCTCTGGACAAGATCCGAGTTAAGCCGATCAACGAGCGCTTTCGCGGCTTGGGAAACAACATCAAGATGGTGGTCGATGTGGTTGAGTGCGACGCGGAGATTGAGCCAGCGCTGCACTACGCTGTGGGTGACACGGTTGTCTGTGATTCTATCGACGTTGCTCGCGATTTGTGTTTCCGCCAAAACGAGAAGGTGAAGGCAGTGACGTTGAACGGGATGGTTGTGAGCAAGAATGGCAGTATGACGGGCGGTAAGACCCAGAGAGACTTGCGTCGTGCTGGCCGATGGGATGAGAAGGAGGTCCAGGCTTTACAGCAGGAAAAAAATGGTTTGATCGAAGAAATTCGCGCTATTGAGCGCCACGGCGCATCCTACGCGAAGCTACAGACTCTACGTACACAGATAGAAGGGCTCAGCAACCGACTCACTCATGCAAAGGCCGATTTGGCAATTACCGAGACGAATAGACCCAAGATCCAGGCTCGAATTGATAATGCTCAGAAGCGAGTGGCGGAAGTGATCGATCCAGAGCTTCGTAAATTTGCAGCGGCTGTGGATTCTCGCAAGGGCAAGCTCAAACAGCTTGAGGAACAAATCCACGGAGTTGAAGACGAAATGTTTGCAGACTTCAGCGAAGCGATTGGCGTCGACAGTATCCGTGTCTACGAAGACAGAGTGCTTAAGAGACACCACAAGGCCATGGAGATGCGACGCAAAATTACAGAACATGAAGCGAAGCTTCGCGCACAGGTAAGGCAGAGGCATTGAAGCAGCATCATTTATATTGCCGCTAATATTTCGCTTCGTCCCAGCTCGAGTACTTGCAATCTCAAGACTTCAATCAACCCATGCTAGCAGCAAAGGAACGTGCAGCGCGAGAAGCTCAGCATTTGAAGAAGTTAATTGAAGAGGAAGATGGCCTTATGAAAAAGTTTACAGCCTTGCGCAAGGAAAAGAAGGAGCAAGAAGGAATGCGCACAACTTTAACTTCTAAGGTGGAGGAGCTTGAGAAAGAACTCCGAGAAATTGGCAGCAAGAAGAAGAAATACGAGGAACGCAAGGGCAAAATCCAACGACGAATTGCGTCAGAGGAGGCGGTGCTTGAACGTCTAAAAGATCACAAGACGGAGCTCTTCAAACGTGCAGCGCTGGACCAGATCAAACTACCAACTATTGCTCGTAAATCTGCCAACGGCTCCGAGGACGTCGAGATGGAAGTAGACGCAAGTGGATCAGGTAGCCCTGAAAACGCGGAGCTTTTACTTGGAGATGACGCAGCCAACCAAGATGTGGACTTTTCGTCGCTTCCAGATGCTCACGTCGTGGTGGATGATAAAGAATTCGACGAGATTAGCGCCGACTACGAAAAGCGGATTAGTGTTCTACTCACGGAACTCGAGCAGATACAGCCAAATATGCGCGCATTGAACAAGTTCGACGTGATCCAAAATCGAATTGGAAAGGAAGAAGAGGAACTGGACCGCATCAAGCAACAGGCTTTCGATACTGCGTCAAAGTTCGAAAAAGTCAAACAAGCTCGTCACGATCGCTTCATGGAGGCGTTCAACCACATTTCAGGAGTGATTGACTCGACGTACAAGCAACTCACCAAGAGCTCCAAGCATCCACTAGGTGGTACGGCGTATTTGAACTTAGAGAATACGGAAGACCCGTATCTAAGCGGGATGAAGTTCAACGCTATGCCTCCAATGAAGCGATTCCGCGAGATGGAGGAGTTGTCTGGTGGTGAGAAGACTGTGGCTGCGCTCGCGCTGCTGTTTGCGATCCACAACTACCGCCCGTCGCCTTTTTTCGTGCTTGATGAAGTGGATGCAGCACTAGACAATGTGAACGTCAACAAGGTGTCCACGTACATCGCCAACTGCGACTTCCAGTGCGTCGTGATCTCGTTGAAAGACTCGTTCTACGAGAAGGCTGACGCGCTGGTCGGAATCTGCAAGGACATCACGTTGCAGCAGTCCAAATCGATGACACTGGATCTCACCAAGTTTGACTAACTATCAAGACCGACTAATTTTTTTTTACGTTTGAAGCTGCAGGCGTACAGCTTTTCAATGGAAACCTAGTTTATTCTACGGCTTTTTATGCTAACCTTCCAGCTCGTTCCTCGCCCCAAAGCGAGTTTTCGACGAGTGTTCAGCTTCTTTTTGCACCAGCTCCTTCAGACGATGATCTGCAGCTGCTTGTGCTCTGGAGAATTTACCATAACGACGCTCTTCGTAGAGTAAAAAACACTCGGCTAGACGAATCTTGGAAGGTAAGTCCACTGTCACTTGACTGGAAGCAAATGAAGCTGAATCCAAGAGTACAGATAGATCGTCTTCCTCTGGCATCTCGATAGCCCAGAACACGCGCATACTTTGATCTAGACCTCCGATGGTTGAGAAGGGGTTTCGTCGAGGTAAACGCACTCCATCCATTGCAGCAGTGGCGAGTTGGCTTTTACTTACGAAATCAAGATCGCTGGTCATTTTCAGTGCGTAATTCAAGTTTCGCCATAGGAATGGCCGCGTCTGGAGCATACGACGTCTCCACCCGGCAATGGCATCTACTGTAGCTAACGACAGCTCTCGAACACGAAGGAGAGCTTCTAATAACTCGACGCTTTGGTCGTCTCGGAAGGAGCAGCAGCAGCGCAACAACTCGTCCAGTCCAGCTTCTCGAGCCACGATTGCTCTCAACACAACCAACTCTTCTTCCGACAGCAATCCCTCGTACGACAAAGCCTTGGTGCTGGAATACCTTGCCACTACGTTAGAAAACTGCTGTCCTTCATCCTTTTGCTTGTTTGGCTTCGACATGTAAGGCTTCAAAGGCTCGTCCTTCATCTCACGAAAATCCTCATTAAAACTTGCCGACTGCATTCTATCTGCTCTTCGCGTTACAAAGAAATTGTGAACAGTCGGTCATTTTTTTTTCTTTGGCTCCATTTTTTTTTTCGACCAGCTAGTACGATAACTGTAGTTTTGTGCTAAATGGCTCCACTTATTCGCGTTCAGCAGCACGACGCCGGATTTCTTCCCAGGTCGTGGGTTTTGCTGGAGCATCATCTTCGCTGGGCACTCCAAAGAAATAGTCATCTTCGTCATGGCGCAGTGCTGGAACATTTTTGTCTGTTCCTGCGCGACGAGTATCCCGCGAGTAGTGCGCGTAAGGGTCACGAGAGAGAGGAGCATCACGGTCTCCAAATTCCGATTCATCGGAATTTGGAGGCTTCGCACCAAAGAAAAATGGTGAACGACTTCCACTGTCGTTCGGCTCTCCGAAAGCCTCCTGGTCTCCGTCACTGGAATCCTTCTTGTGTCGAGGAGTGTCGAGTCCAGTAATCGGGGGAATGCTGCTAGAAATCCCATTGTCGTAGCGAGGAACAGGTGGGAGACTCGTCGCTGGTTTCGCTCCAAAACTCGCAGGTTCATTTGCTTCCTCATTCCACGAGTCACTGCAACACAGAGAGCAACAAAGTGAGCACTCGTGCCACTAAGCAACAGCTAAATTGACTTCTAACGTACGTAGCAGCCGCTGAATGTTTAAATTTCTGGTTCAGCTCCTGCACGAATGGGTTATCCGGAATCTTCTCCATCAAACTAGCACAAAAATAATGAGTTTTTTGTCTACTACACACATTTTCACATTCTCCTCACATGGACCTAGCCCGAGTCGCAAACGGCGACTTGTCCGACGGCAGCATCAGCAGGTCCGAGAACAAGTCCCGACGGATGCTGATGATGCCGTACGAAGCTCCAAACAAACCACCAGCTATAAAAACAAGAGCATTTAAATACAAATATCATGGTGTTACCCTCAATAATTCTTCACTCACACATCATGGCGAAGGCCCCTGCCGCTCTTTTCTGATTCCTGGAGAGTTTCCAGAATCCGGCCATTACGGTGGAGCCAAGAATCGCGCCTAGCGCAGCGCGGCGGCGGCCCATATTGGCGTAATGAGCCAAAATTTCCATCTCGGACTCCGTCCTGCGGTGTTTTTGTACCGTAGATATGAGGAATGGACTAAAACTGTAGAAGGAGAATAGTGCTACGTACTTGCCGATAAAGGACGCATCCTTGTCCTTGGACATCTCCGTGCTCAGCGTGCGGATGGCGTCGTCCACAGGCACCGTCGACAGCATCTTGGCTTAGAGCGAAGGATTACTATGGGATGTGGGGCTAATACGAATACGGAATTTGATTGGAAAAAATGATATTTGTATGACGAATAGAAAAGCAGGAGATTGTATCCATCTTCGCTTCAACTTGCTGGAAGCAGCAAAGTTGCTGGAGTGCGTGCGGTTCAAATAAACAAACTGAGCACGCTAATCAAGCGAAGAATTCATACATGGTTGATCTTGAAAAAGCTTAGCTCGTCCTAGGACGGTGCTTGATGATAAGCAAGACTAGCTATCTTATTCAAAAATGCCGTGTAGCGGACCGCTACTAGCGGTTTACAAATGTCGTCACTCACGTGCTCAGTACCAGCAGCCTTGAATATCTCGAATTCATCCACTACGAACTAGTTGGACTCTCTTCAGCTCTTTATTACGACGCCTTCCTCCGTCAACCGCTTGTTAATCTGCTTCTCCACGTACGCAAAGAGCTCAGGAATATGGTCGGGAAGTTGGCACGACACAAAGCACTGTCGGCCAGTGCGTCTTGCAAGTCTCTGAGCAATCTGTTGCTCCTCCATCTCCGGGGCCCCCACAATGGACGTGATGAGAGGCATGGGGCTGTAGCGTGTGGCGATGGCCGTCGACAGCGATCTAAGGCATAAAATTATCAGGAAAAAATAGTACATGTAATAAAATGCAATCTTGACACTACCCCCCGTACCCGAGACGAGGTTTGTCGGTCGCCGATCCCATCCACACGAAGATGCAGTTGCTCAGCAGCCAGATCTGGACCAGGTAGCTCTGGTCCAGCAGCGTCCCAGGCAGGTCGATAATGCGCAGTCCGGCGTCATCGCTCAGCTGGAGCTGCTGGAGCTCCGCGTCAAAAGTAGCTGCTTATCATAACGTAGAGGTTAACGCGGAATACAAGTACATCGCCTGAATTGACGCATCACCTACGTTCCATTTTGCTTCGGGTCAAACGAAAAATGGTAAGTAAATCTAGTTTTGATTGGTCGAAAGTTTTATCCAATCACAACCACTATATTTCTGACCATCATTCGTCTGGCCGCCTAGTGAAAGCCAACATGTCGGCGGATGCGAGTCTGGAGGAGCTGGAGGCGCGGCTTGTGACGTTCACAGAGCAGCTGCAGAACATCCATGAGCTTTTGCAGAGTGACCCCACAAATACCGAGTTCCTGAGTATCGCCAAGGACCTCGTGGAGGTCATCCAGCTCACTAAGGAGACGGTGCGTCCGTTGCGGAATGGTTTACCACTAATTCTTAGCTAACTTGCAGCTATTTATTTCTATTTCCGCTCTTTAGATCGATCTCAAGGTGAATGCTGCCTCGTCCTCCCAAGTTACTGAGTCGCAGAAGACCCAGGAGCCACGTCAGGAGTCTTTGACGCTCGGTACGGGACCTTTTAGCTCCAAATAACGACGAAATACTTAATTGCTGTTTTTTTGTGTTTTCAGAACTGAAATATGAACCAGGCTCAGTCGTCGAGGCTCTACAGCAAGGAGTGTGGTACCCAGCCCACGTGGACTCGTTGACGAGCGATGGTAGCTACAACGTCAAGTTCCTGGGCTTTGGTACCACCGCAGAGCTGAAAGAAGACGCTCTAAGAGCCATTGAAGTCGACGAAGATCAAGCTTCCCAGCTGCCAGCTAAGGAGACCATTACAGAGGGATTCAAGTGCCAGGCTAAGTACTACGCGGACGCTGTAGTATACCCCTGTTCAGTCACAAAGGTCACTGAATTGGGCTTTCAGGTGCTGTTTGACGGCTATGGCAACTCGGAGGAGGTGCCGTACGAGTATTTGAGACCTACAGCGCTGCTACAGTCGGAGGTAGGCCCTAATACTGCTCAGACTAGCCCTACTAACGCAGTTGATGGTGCTACTGCGCTTGCTGGTGCTGCAACAGCCCCTAAAGTGGCACCTGCGGTGATCCACAAGCCCATTAAGATTCCAGAGAACCTGCAGATTTTGCCCTCGGACACGGAGGCTGAAAAGGAACGCAAGCGTAAGCGTATCCGTGCAATTAAGAGCCTGAACCGACACAAAACTATTGACAACGAACGCAACATCAAGCAGCACGACTGGAAGGCGTTCCAATACAAGGCCAAGAAGAAAGGTTTGAAGAAAGGCGTCAGTGGAGTGCTCTCTAAGCGTGGTTCCAGTATGTTTGCTTCGCCCGACACGGTACAGGGCCGTGTGGGCGTTGTGGGCAGTGGCCAGGGCATGACTACCTTCCAGGATACACGAACCAAGAAGCCGAAGCACGCTTAAAGAAGGTAGGCAACGCGACTAGGTAACTTCATTGCAGGGATTGCTGCGGTCTTTTATTTTCTGCATTTCCTAGTACAACGCAGTTGACGCAATTTGTGGTTTCCCCATTTATCAGTTTGTTCAAATCTTCTGCAGGAGCGTTACCCGTTTAGACGATGTCCTCAGCGGTGCTTATCTTGCCGTGTTGGTGACGTGCTGACCCGGTCAATCGCAGACTGTTTTCTCTGCTCCTAGCGCTAGCGTTGGAATTTCCGGAGCCGGTACGTGACCTATCGCCTCTGGAATTGTTGCGCAGATGGTCGTACTGGGAGTCGTCACTCCGTGCTGCTTCGAGGATATCCGGCTCGCTCCAACCGTGGCCCCCAAAGCGTGGCGTGGAGCTCCCTCGACTGCCTGTTCTTGACACGTTTCCGTCTGGGGGTGAAGCCATTATTGTTTTTACCGGCAGCGTAGGCAGCAACATCGAGGCATTTGTTGACAGGAGCTCTTCGTCAAACGGTGACTGCAGCTCCACTACGTCTGTGTAGCCCGCTAAAGACGAAGGTCGTCCAGCCGAAGAAGCAGATGATATCGGAGATAAAACCGCCATCGCCCCCAAACTTGCTTCGAGATCACCTTGGTCTTCTTGCTGACGCCGCTGAAGACGCCGCTGTCGCGCCTCGTTCTGTTGGTGCACTCTCAAAAAATTCGTGAGCTGCTCGAAACTCTGTTCGTAGCCCAAAGAGGCGTTAAAGTGGTGCACCATGCTCCGTGAGAAGGTGTAGCGCTTGGCCAGATCCACTTTGTGAAGCGACAGGAGAATCGGAACCAGAAGCTTCCCTCGATCCTCTGCAAACGCCAATTGGTCGGACAGCAGATCGCAATTCGCTGACAGTGGTGACAACACTACCAGCACAGCAGAACAAGACAGAATGGCGTCCTTTGCAGCAAGCTGGCGAGTTTGAACAGGTAGACGAGCAACTGGCTGGTCAGGTCCACCAAAATCTGTGCCAAAGCCTCGACTCTGAGCCTCTGCACCCACGTGATCTGATGGCTGGTGCGCGTATTGTACAGCAGGGACAGTTTGATCCACGACACAGCGAATGCCTTGCTTCAGTAGAGATTTTTGCAGCCGCAAGCAGAAGGAATGATGAAAATCTCCATGTGCGATGAATACGAACGAGTCGGTGGCAGAAGTGAAGGCGAGAGATGAAGCGAGCGACTCGATCCTTCGCAGAGGACGGAAAAGCGGCACATTAAGTGGGCCTTCCGGGAAGCTGATCTGTGCGTCGGAGTCTTCACATTCACCAGTATTGCCAGATGCAGTGGGCATTCCACACAGTTCTTTGTCTTCTTCCTCGGGGTAGCACTCACTATCGTTGCGACGACTTCCATGACGAGATGTATCTTCGCCAGCTCTACCACCAGTATCATGGCCAGGCATCTGTGCCTGTTGTTGCTGTTGCTCTTGCCGTCGCGCTAGTCGTGCACGATGCTCTTCGATCTGATCTTGAATGCCATCAAGAAGCATTCGCAGACAGTGGCAAAAGGCCTCATCATTGTAGTCGGGAACAAGCTCGAGGTTGCTGGCAACGCGCTTGCCCACCATATTCGTCACCTCATTATCGTCCTCGATCCGGAACTCTGACTCGTCCTCACGAGAATCTGTGTCCTCAATGGTATGTGAACTGTTGCTTGTTATCATAGGCCGAGCTTCCTTGACACCGTCACCTTTATCTTCGGATAACGAGTATGGGGCATGCTCACTGGTTTCCATGGTATAGTTGTGCTTGACCGCTGGTCTGAAGTCAATCACCTGACGAGTCCATAGGTAAACCTGCAGTTCCTCGGAGATCTCCATGTCTTCGCATTGGATGGCTACGACAGGGATGTTCTGCATTTTAGCGAACGCCAGCTCCTTCATGCACCACTGCGACTGCGGATAGTCTTTGGTCAGTACAGCCAGCACAAGTGCACTGCTTTGAATGCCTCGAGCAATTTCCTGTCGCCAGACCGAACCACCAGTAATACCTGTAGGTCCCATGGTGTCGATCCAGGTCGTAACTCGCTGGCGTTCCAGTGCATCTCGAATCTTACGAGCCAACGGAGCATGTGCGTGGCTGTAGCTGATCATAACATCGCGTTGACCTGCCTCCTTCTTCACAGCAAACCGCAGAGCTGGCGATCGCGCACAGTCAATCGCCCGTTGTCCGAGAAGATTCACAGCCGTCAAGCTTAAACCAGCGCGCACGAACAACACGGCTGCGGTCTGGTTACGTCGCCGTAGCGCCACGTGAAGAGCAGAATCGCCATTGCTCGTGCGTGTAGCGTGCAGGTCTACACCGTAGTCAAGCAACAACTGGAAGATCCGTGGGTCTAATCCACGAGCAAGTGACCTTTGTCCGCTCAGCATGACACCAAGATCCCCTTCCTCGTCGCCAGCATCGTCACACTCATCATACTGCACACGGTCGTCACTGAGCTTGTCTCGCTTACCTGTCGCTGTCTTATCTCCTCGCTTAATGGACGCACACGCACCAGCAGCACAGATACACAGCAATGGATCTCCTTGAGCATCACGAACGTTAACGTCAGCACCGCTTTCCAAAAGCGCCTCGACAGCGCGTGTGCGATTCAGAACACAAGCCCAAGCCAACGGTGTGCGTCCAAACACGTCCCGTGCATCAACGTTAGCTCCATATCGCACGAGAAGTCGAATGATACGAGCATGTCCACGCATCGCAGCCCAATGGAGCGGAGTGCGTCGAAAGCAGCCGATCACTTGTTCCCCCAGCGTGTCTGGATCCGCTCCGTGTTCCAGTAAAAACGCCACTTCATGTCGACGTCCACCAGCGCAAGCATCGTGAAGAGGAGTGAGCGCCACGTCTCCGCCGTATTTCTCCATCTGTCGAGCCACAGCAGCGTTACCTGCGATCCTTGCAACTTCAAAAGCAGTGAGCAATATTCCACTGGCGTCTCCAGGCAAAGCAAGAGGGTTGCCACCAGCATCGAGCAGCAGCCGCGTGCACTCCTTATCCACGGCCCAATAGAGCGGCGGTGTGGCAAAGCGCGGGTGTGTTGACAATGCCGTTGCATCAGGCTTTGCACCATAGCGTAACAGTAACAATGTGAGCTCGACATGGCCCATTGTTACGGCTACATGAAGAGGAGTTAACAGTGTAGCTTGGAACAGCCCGACAGGGCCAAACGGATGCGAAGCACTTGCCAGTCCAGGAGCTGCACCTCCATTCCCCGCACCACCTCCTGCTGACGCACTCGCCACTACACCTGCACTGGAACGGCGTACAAGCAAGAAAAGAAGGCGGAACATCACTCGATAGAGCCACGCTAAATCTAGGCGCAACAGCTCCAGCTTGTCACGTTGTTGGACGTCAAAGTGACCATTAGCAAGCAGTTCGCGGACGACCTCGATCTGGTCAAAAGCTACAGCCACGTGCAGCGGGTTGCGCTGTCCACGAGCGAGTAAAACGAGTCCACCGAGATTCCACACGCGCGGCTCGTACCACTCCGTCGCAAATTCCGGGCCGGAAATGCTTACAGCTGCTTCCAATAGTGAACGCACTTGTTCAACATCTCCACGCTTCGCCGCACTGTATAGCGCCACTTTGACGTAGTGTATCTGCTTCCTCTTGCTACCCGATGGTACATTACCATCACCGTTGCCCTCCTGTGTCCCGTCGTATCGGTCTCCTCGCGCTGCTTTTCGTAGTCGCATGCAGCGCTTCCAACACGCCCACGCAGGAGCTGGTAGCCAGGCGTAAAGAGGTGTGGCGAATGATTTTTCCACATAATCGAAACGAGAGTGACCCGGTACGTATCCGCGCTGGAACAGGAAGTGTAGATGAAGTCGGTGGAAGAGCAGTATCTGTCGCCATCGCAATATATAAGCAAGAACTGCCACGAGCTGGACTGCGAGAAGTATCAAGAAATAACCTGTGGCGAGCTGCCGATCGCACGCGATGAGCATCTCGGATATGCTTCCGGACTCCGATGGCACGAACATTACTACCAGTAAGAAGATAAGGTACGGGATCTCCACCACCACAATGATTTCACACAGCGTGAATAAATAAGTCTTCTCGAACCGCTGGTGCTCCTTGGTGATATCTGCGACAGACGAAGACGGCGCCACGACAGATGATGGCTCACCATTGATCGATGACGCTGAATTAACTCTGGAATAATCTCTGCGCGCACGTCGATACAGTCGGCAAGCCTTAAAATTTAACGCAGGTAGACAAAGTATCACGTTGGCGACCATCGAGTACGCATACATGTCCAGAAACTCGAGTGAATGATCGTGACAATGCCTTTCCGCGTCATCTCCCGCTCCATCGTCCTTATGTGCTAGAATAGCGGGTACGACCACATGATTCAGTAGTTCTCTTAATAAATATACCACCACAATGAGTGTCGAGTTGGCCACCATCCTGGCACACAAATACGTGTTGCTGTCTCTCTTAAGCCACGGAAATACACACCACAGCACGCGTCGTATCCTCATGTAGCACCACCAGAGTTTCCTGATCCGCATCTGTCCACTAGCGTCCACATAGTAATGACACGACGGTAATGCTGCTTTACCGCACTCGGGAATGTCCACATTGCAGTTCACAGGAGGTGTCGACTGTTGCTGCGTCTCGGAGCTGACTGACGGTCTAGAAGAGTGTGCAGATACAGCAGAGGGCGCCGCTCGTCTGTGCCACTTGCTGTGAGGATCTGACGTCGTCTCTGAGTGCCTCGAACCGTGTGTGCGGCCAGCTGAGCTCGCTGAGACCTGTCTGTGACTATGGGGTGAATGCTCAGCCGCGTCCATGAGCGGAATCTCGTAGCTGGGCGGTGAAGGACTGCGCTGGTCATAGCTCTCGCCAGTGATTGGCGATCGTCCGCCATTGGTAGAGAGCGGAGAGTGTAATGCGTGGAAATAACTGGAGATACCTGGCGGCTGCTGGACAGGCTCAATGGACGAAGAGGACGAGCGCGACGCAGCGGACACGTTGGCGGCCTCACTGTTGCCACTGGGCTCCGAGAGCGACCCCATCGCCCGCAGAACTGCTCTGCTATGCTCTCTAGATTGTCGAAGCTGTTGTAGTTCGCGCGGTCTAAAACTGTATGTTCGATCGAGCTATTCCGCTGGATTACGCGGATCAATTACTTAACAAGTAACTATTAAGTAAGCATTGTGATTGGTTTAATTTCCTGCCAATCATACACCTTAAAAATTATTCAAATGTTACTTAATGGATACTTAAATCGCAGCTTTGTGGTTGGTTAAAACTCCAGCCAATTACACACATTTTTACTTATAATTGCCAGATCGAAATCCTTCCTCGTATCAGGCTCTCCTCTCCTCGCGCCATGAAGAAGCTGGTGATTAAGCCGTACCGCCAGAACATGGGGATGGACCAGGCGCGCGCCCAGGAGATCTGGGCGTCGCTGCGCACGGCCATCTACGAGATCTTCTCACACAACGCGAGTTTGTTGTCCTTCGAGGAGCTCTACCGCAATTCGTATAACCTGGTACTTCACAAGCACGGCGATCTGCTCTACAGCGGCGTAGTGGGAGTCATTACCGAGCACCTTCAGACTGTAACACAACAAGTGGCCTCTGTCTCAGATGACATGCTGCTCGTGGCGCTCAATGATCAGTGGGTTGATCACCAGATCGTCATGACAATGGTGCGCGACATCCTCATGTATATGGATCGCACCTACGTCACGCAGAAGCGCAAGCTTCCAGTGTACGACAACGGGCTCTACATCTTCCGGGACGTCATCGTGCGTCACGACAGCGTACGTGACCGAGTGCGTGCTCGGCTACTGCTCAGTATCGAGCGAGAACGACACGGAGAGCTAATAGACCGAGATCTCATCAAGAGTGTGCTCCGCATGCTCGTAGATCTCGGTGTGCACTCCAATACAGTGTACGAGAACGACTTTGAGAAGTTCTTCCTCGATACAACGCTGGACTTTTACCGTGCTGAAGCCCAATCCATGCTGGATGTGGCTACATGTCCTGAGTATTTGGAGAAGGCCGAGCAACGGCTGAATGAAGAAGGTGCGCGTGTACTGCACTATCTGAACCCGTCGACGGAGCATAAATTGAAGACAATCGTGGAGACGCAATTGATTAAGAACCAGGCGAAAGCTTTAGTGGACATGGAGCATTCAGGGTGTGTTGCGCTATTCCGTGACGGTAAAACTCAGGCGCTGCGTAGGATGTACTCACTATTTCGACGCGTACCAAGCACGTTGCCTGAGATCAGTGAAGCTGTGTTCCAGTACATTAAAACGCAGGGAGACGAGATTGTCAAGACCCAGTCGAACCCTGAGACGGCGTTGGATGCGTCACAGTTTGTGGAAAAGTTGCTGGCATTGCGTGAAAACTTCGTGGGTTTCTTGTCGGATTGCTTTTTCGACGACCCGCAGTTCCACAAATCTATTAAGCAGGGCTTCGAGGCCTTTATGAACACAAGCACAGTCTGTGCTGGATACCTGGCACACTATCTGGACGAGTTACTGCGCTCTAAGAATCGGTTTGAAGAGGAGATGGACACCCGCGTAACGCAAGTGATCGCTCTGTTCCGATATCTACAGGACAAGGACGTCTTCGAGGAGTTCTACAAGGTTTTACTCGCCAAGCGTCTACTTAATAGTCGCGGCACTTCGGACGAGGCGGAGAAGCTCGTTATCTCGAAACTCAAGGCAGAATGTGGGTACCAGTTTACGTCCAAACTAGAGGGAATGTTCAAGGATATGAGTATTTCCAAGGACCTCATGGAGCTGTACAGGAAGTCCGGGTATGACACCCGAGGCAGCGGTTTTGGCGTTGATGTGTCTGTCGCCCCAATGCCGTTGTCTGTGCACGTACTCACAAGCGGTTTCTGGCCCACGGAAATGGCTCCTTTGTGTGATCTTCCCCCGGAACTCGTCCAGTTGACAGAGGCATTCGAGTCGTTCTATTACGCACGACACAATGGGCGGAAATTGGCGTGGATGGCAAACATGGGTACAGTTGACGTTCGAGCCACATTTTCAGCGGGTGTGGAGAACGATAAACGTCGTCATGAGTTAAATGTGTCCACGTATCAAGCTGTGATTTTGATGCTGTTCAACCAGCGCTCTGAATGGCGTTTCAAGGAGCTATTGGAGCGCACGCGAATTGACGTAAAGGACCTGAAGCGACATCTAATTTCTCTCTGCACGCCGAAGTACAAGATTTTGATCAAGAGTTCAAAGGGCAAGCGCATCGACGAAGAGACCGATTTATTCACAGTCAATGACTCGTACAAGTCCAAGCTGCATCGCGTACGGATACCGCTGGTGTCTCAAAAGGAGACGTCGCTGTTGCCAGCCGTGGCGTCAAGTACAGCCAGTCCAACGGACGCGTTGCCACCTACTGTTGCTGAGGACCGCAAGCATCTCATTGAGGCCTCCATCGTTCGTATCATGAAGACACGCAAGCAGATGCAACACAACCAACTCATTGCTGAGGTTACACGCCAGATGGCCGGTCGCTTCACGCCTTCCCCACAACTCATCAAGCTGCGTATCGAGAGTCTGATCGAGCGCGAATATCTCCAGCGCAGCACCACGGATCGACGAATGTACAACTATTTAGCCTAAGAAGTACAAGTGGACGAGAGCCATCGGGTGCAACAAGCTCCAAAGCCGCGACGAGCGATAACAATTTAGAGACTGAAGAGCTCCACAAGAGAGGAGGAACGCATCAAAATTGACGATTCATTTCTTATCGTGACATTCTATCTTATTATTTTCTGTCTACCGTCATATTTTACTTTGTCACCCGACTTTAACACTCTTTTCATTAACAGCTCCATACGACTAAACACCGGAATACTCTTTCATACCCCTCAATTACGAACATTATCACTTACGAACCTACACTGAGCCAAAACGCCACTAAGTCGCCCAATCGCGAGCTAATGGCCGAGTCGGAGCTGCTGGGGCTCGCGGGGCTCCGCTCCGTGGCCGTGCAGTCTACTCACATCCAGCGTGTGCAGCTCTTAACCTCCTCTCCGTCCTCTTCGAAGGCTCGCACTCCAGAGCCGAGTCTACGACAGCGGCTGCAACGTCAATGTCGATCGAACGCGTGGCTCTTATTGACGCTGGGCTTTATCTGCTGCTGGGCCACTACTAATGCTGCCACGTCCAAGAGCAAAACTGACAATGCAGTGGCAACTTCAAACGATCTGTACATCGTCTTAGTGAGCATCCCCGTGCTGGACAAGGTGCTGCCACTCAAGCATTTAGCCGAGACTCTGCTATCCCGTGGTGTGCGCGTAGGATTCGCATTGCCCGAGAATTGTCGCCAATGGATGAGCGATCTGGAAGGACTCGAGTTTATTTCACTGGGGAATATTGTAGGTAAAGGACGAGCAACAGCGCTAGATCCAAGCGAGCTCCACAATCTCGGAGTCTATGAAAGTTACGCCAATACTTTACGCTATTATGCATCATTCCAACGTCCGATGTTCGGAGCGTTGCTGGAAGATCTCGAAGACGACCGCCCGGACTTGGTCGTGGTGGATCGATACACTTTTGCAGGCTTTGATGCCTGCCATCGACTGCAATTGCCCTACGTGGTGAATGACCCGCACTTGTTGTTTGACATCGACTCACCCCCGGCATACATTCCCGCCCCTTTCTCCAATTTTACCATGCACGTAAGAAAACTGTAACATTGAGACGAAAAGGATGCTACAAAGACTAACATTGACGGTGATCTTTGTAGACGACGAGCGTGTTGGAGCGATGTCTGAATAGCTACTACCGTCTGCGCTTCCGACTGGGATTAGTGCATGTGTATAATGAAATTAACGCCGTGCGGCAAGAATACGGACTCAAAGCCATCGATAGCAAGCACCAAATGCACGGCCACTCGCTTGTACTAGTGAACTCGGTCTTCGGTTTGGATGAAGCGCGTCCTATGGCGCCTCAATTCAAAATGGTTGGTCTATTGCAGTCACAGAAGCTGCAGCGTGAGCGTGAAGAAGCCACTGGACGTAGCAGATTCCCAGCGGCGCTGACCACGTGGTTGGAGGCTCCAGATCATCAAGACAAGCCGCTGATATTTATCAGCTTCCAAACGGACGTGCCTTTGACCCCAGAGTTCATCACGACTACCGTAAGTCTTGTGCGCTTACTGTATACTGTAACTCGATACAGTGTCTAACTGTAATGTGTTACGGTATACAGATGAACGCCTTGGAGACTGTAAATGCCCGACTCTTATGGAAAATCACACTACAAGAGCAAGCAGCGTTTGATCTGCGCTCACGTCCTCGAGGCTCCGTAATGTTCCTCGGAGACGGCTTGGATGATGCTACGGTGCTGGCGTTAGCGCCCGAGATAGAGTTGCTGGTTACCGCAGGAGATTTCCCGAGTATGCAAGAGGCTCTTGTTGTCGGAGTACCCATTCTAGGTCTACCACACTCAGCTGAACAAGTGGAAGGCGTGGACGCAGTAGTGCGAGCGGGTGCCGGTCTACGACTGGATGGGAAATCATTCTCCGAGAGTAGTCTACGCGACGCAGTGGATAGGATGTTGGTGGACGAGCACGAACACTTTAAAGCCAACGCTGAGCATCTCGGAGAGCTTCTGAAGACTGGTGGAGGCGTAGAACGAGCAGTGGACGAACTGTTGGCTGTTGCTGAATTTGGAGCTCGTCACTTGTTACCGATGCGTAACTTGCAGCCGCTGTACAAGACGTACCTTGTGGACGTGTACTTGATCTACGGGGCGATTCTCTGCGGCGCAGCCATCATCCTGCGCACGTTCGTGTCGGTCGTGCTGTCCATTTTCCAGCCTTTGACTCCGCTCGAGGTGCTTGAAGCAGAGGAGCTTGCAGCGAACGGCCAGATGAGCCGCGCCGACGAAGTGGGCCATAAAGCGGTCCAATAAACAAACAACAGCGCACCTGTATCACACCATGAACAGGTGCAGCGCCCCCAATCGATAGTTGTAGCCATCGTTCCTTGTGTACTTCTTACCGCAGGCTTCAACTACGACGAGACTGGACAGGTACGTTGTGGTATTCTCATCCGTGTTCTCTCTGCACAGGTGAGATACAGCTTGACAACTTGCTGGAAGTCTAGTGCCGCAACCACAAAGGCGAGAATGCAGCATACGTCGAGGAGCACTCTGACATCCCAGCCGGATGAACGTCATTGTCCGTGGTACGATTCACCGTGGTGGTACAGTCAAACACTACTGAAAGTTTCAGTAGTGTTTGACAGTCTGAAACGCTTCAGCAGTCGACCACGTCGACATTGATGAGGTGCCGCTATCGAGTCGAGAGCGAGAGTCTCGACCTTGTCGAGCATGGCATCATAGCAAATGGAAGTGAAAGGAGACGTGAGATCCGTGATCTGTAGATGTAAAATCCGCCCAGGCGGGCAATCTACTTAGCAAAGTGCACCCACAGAGCCGTCGTATCGTCGCCAAGTCCTTATACATGTAATACCTCTGCTCTTTGCCCTCGGCCAGCTATTAACGCCGCCACCTTAGCGTCGAGAACAATAGCAGTGTCTATCTGCCAACGTCTCCACAGCCACAGCATTGGGTCACTCCGTCTCCTGATGGAATCTGCGCACAATTACAGCAGGGTGTTACAGGACCGTAACTGTAACTTACAGTAGGGCGGAAATACTTCAAACCCTAACTAAGAAACTGCGGTTATGGCGTCCGTCCAATACCAAGTGACGATCAATTGCCGGCGGAACAGCAGCAGCCAGACAACCGCAGCAGTCCAAGTCGCTGTCAAACGTCCTCCAACGAGAACCAAGCCTCTTGTCGTACCCGTGAGTCGTACACCGATTCCAGTCAGACAATAAGGCGTCCCGTCTACGCGTGCTGAGCCTTTGGCCGGCTGTTCCACGTCTCCCCGAGGTGTACGGAACGACCGAACGATGGCAGTCTCCAACGCGCTCCTACACCAGGAGAAAGAGGAACCTGTGCGCAGGTATCTGCATACATTTGCCAAGTACCAGGGAGTTAAGCACGCCGCGAATCACCTCGCCAAGCGAGAAACCCCCCTAACGGAAGCCCCTTTGGGGCACTCAATTACAGGTCATGGACCCTAACTCTAACTTGACAGTCCAAACCAACCACAAAGAAGAGCAGGATCTGCAGGACTCACCCGACACTCAGACGCAATACGTCAAACTGGAGACACCCATTAAGGTCCACACTAAGGAGTTCTCTCGTCAGGACACGTTCAATAGTGACGCCGAGTCAGGACCAACAACAGCACCCACGTATCGTCCTAGTTCAGACACCAGACTCAGCGGAGTGGACAGGATGGCGCACGATATTCAATTAGGACCCAGAACGATCACACTGGACGACGCGGATGAGGTGGAACACAAGGAACAGCAACAGATGCAGCAGTCCCGGAAGGACACGGACCAGAGCAGCAAGGCTGGAGCCACAGAACACACGATGCAGATGAGCTCCATCGAGATACGGGACTCGGTTCTACCCAAACTACCCAAGAGATACCTTAACGGCCAGTTCCAGAGCAATTCGTATTTCTCGAGAAGGTTATGGCGACTTTCACAGCTCATTGTGCTCGGAGATATTGTGGCTCTAGGCTTTTTCTACTGCTACCAGTCCGACGCGGACGATATTCGACATGGCAAGTTGTACGTGGGGTCTCCATTGAAAGTTCTGGTCTCCAGTAACGAGCCCAGTTGCTCTACGTCGCTGGCATTGGCTGCGTTAGTGTACCATTTGTTCCCGGCGGTGTTGATACTGGGCCTGCCAGCATCAGGTTTGAGAGTTTTTGAGCCGTTCAGGAGGGAACATCGCATCGATCGAGGTGGGAGACTGCAGAAGGTTAAACGCACGGTCTGTCTGCAGATTTGTGAGCTCGTAGGAGTGGTGATCTTTCTGTACGAAGCTCTAATCCTCGGCTTCTTGGTGTACTACGTTGCAAGCGGGAAGATCTTCGTGGACTGCGACTCCAACATCCCTGCCTATGTGTTCTGCGTCTGCGCTATCGTCATGTTCTGGCTGCTGTTCGTGCTTATGCGAGCTTTTGCTCGCTTCCGTGAACATTTAAAGATGCAACTGGGTGCATTTAAAGAGAGCGATCAAACTGGAGACGTCAAGGCTCACATGTTACGCTCCAAGATGAAACGAAAGAAGCGGCAACAACAGAAGAACGGCAATGGCAATGAGACTGCTCCTACTCCAGCCAGATCAACGATCGTCAAGGACGTTAGTAAGAGGCTGTTCCGAGGAGCTCAGCTGGGTGATCTCAAACTTATTCGACGCTCTATTCGGATCGCGAAACTGCATCTTGGTGAGAGCTTTGCGCGAGAATTATACCCGGATCCTGTTATGGTGTTTGGCATCTTTGGACTCGCTAAGAAGAACCCCATGCACGTGGCTGCGTACCAAGGCAACATCGCCGCCATGGACTTGCTGTATAAGGCGCACTTTCGAGTTAATGCCTTTGATAAAGTCTCACGGGTGAGATTTAGTACAGGCGATCTCTTCTGGTATCTCGCGAGCTATTTCATCCCCAAGCCGGTAGTCTCAGCCGATGAAACGTACAGCTCCGTGTTCAAGACGACGCTGGTCACTCCTCTGCATTGTGCTGTGAGCACTGGGCGTCTGGCTGCTGTGAGATGGCTCATTGCACACGGAGCTGACGTGAATCTGTGTTCCAAGTCGTCGTACCGCTGCGAGAGCCGCCTGCCGCCTATTTTCCTCGCTGATCATCCGGAGATCGTTCACGTATTGCTGCGAGCTGGAGCGAATCATCTGGCGATCCCGGATCCGGGTCACATGAACACAATTACTGTGCTACAACTTGCGTATTTAAGGGGGAACTACGCTGTCGCACAGGTGCTGGAAGACTGGGGAGGAGACGTGGCGCTCACGCCACTGCACGCTGCAGCAGCTATGGATGATGTGGCTACGATCAGGAGTTTTCTACGTAAGAAGGTGAACCCTGACGTTCTAGGAGAGTTAGGATATGTCGGACTGAACAAGCGTACGCCGCTGCATTGGGCTGCTGTTAATGGCGCCGTGGGAGCTGTGGAGATCCTTCTAGCTGCCAAGGCTAATGCCAATTTTCAAGATGCTCATGGACGGACAGCTTTGCATTGGGCTGCTCGAGTGAATCGCGTGGATATTGTACGCGTACTATTAGCGCATGGTGCAGACCCGACGATCGTGGATGATGGTGATATGACTCCCATTATGTGCGCTGCTTGTGCGGGAGGTACAAGTGTGGACATGTTCAAGGCGCTGGTGGCTAGTGGCGGCGACATTAACCACCAACTTCGACTGACTGGAGATACAGCTCTGCACCTGGCAGTCAAACTGGACGATCAGCAGACAGCTTTGGCCTTGCTGAGTATGGGAGGAGACATTATGCGGACAAACCACGACGGCTTCAGGCCTATTGACTGCACAACGTCCACCAGACTGCAGTTCGAGATAAAACGCGCAGCAGGAACTCGCGATGTGATGATCAGTTATACCCACTCACACATGGAGTTTGCATTAAAGCTTCGTAAGTCTCTGGAAGACGCTAACATCACAGTCTGGCTCGATCTCATGGACCCTAGTGGTATTGGTGGTGGGTCTGTGTGGCGAGAAGAGATCGCACGTGGTATCACGAACGCTGCAGTGGTTCTCTGTATTCTAACAGAGGATTATGCACAGTCGGAGTGGTGTTTGAAGGAGCTGGCATTGGCCAAACAAGTGGGCACGCCTATTATGGCTATATCTACTGAACACGCCAAGATCTCGGAAGAGCTTCAGGTGTATTTGTATACGCGACAGCTTGTCCCGTTCGAGAGTGCCATTGTGAAGGTGGAGCACGTGAATGAGAAGGAAACCAGGTATAAATACGACGAGGACGCATACAAGAACCAATTACGGATGCTGCTCGATGGAATGCGAGACGAGATCGAGAAGCGCAAGGAGGACAACATCAAGCGCAACATGCGTCGTGCGGAGACAAATCCGATGACAGGATCGGGCCACGGAGCGAGCGGCATGCGCAGTCGCCGTCTCAACCACGCGGCCTCAGGTATGAGCTCCAACAACACGTACGGCATGGACTCCATGAAGTTTGATGAGCGAACGCTGGCCCTATCAGCGTTTGATACACCGAACTACTACTCTTCAGACTCGCACGGCTCGTCAATTCACGAGCTTGGCGATGATTCCTCTATGCCTGTTATGATCGGCAATAGTCGTCGTCGCGGAGCACCGGGTTCTTCTCGATCTATCGGGTCTAACGGTGTCTTCTCTGCTAGCCAGCGAGGAATGAGACTCAACTACGACTACAACGGCACAAATCTGAGTATTTTGAGCAGCACGAGCTCGAATAGCTTCGTGGACGACTGTGGCGTGTCTGATAGTATTGTGCTTGATACTGGAGGGTACTATTTCCACCGAGCTACCAGCAAGGAGAAGCGAGGAGGACGGACCAATGCTATCGCGGAGAGAGACTCGAACGGAGTCGAGGAGCCCATTACAAGCGACAGTATAGTCGAAGATCTGCAGGAACTGAACACGGCTACTGCTAGTGGCGAACAGTTTGTGTTCATCAGCCACGGTGACCACCACCAGCGATTCGTACGGAAGTTGTGTGTTGAAATGTGCCGTGAGGGAGGACTGAGATGTTACGTGGACCGGAAGCACATGGTGAAGCTGTCCACGACGATAGAAGAGGACAAGGAGGAGGAGCTGGACAAGTCCAAGACTAAACATCCCATGCTCTCAAGGAACGAAGACATGTCGGTGCGTATCCATGAAGCCAAGGAGGCGATTCTCAAGTGTTCGGCGTTTGTCGTGCTCATCTCGGAGAAGACTTTGGCCAGTGAACTAGTGAAGGACCAGCTCGCGTTTGCAGAAGACAAAGGTAAGAAGATCTTGCCGGTAGTGGTGAACCGCATGGACTTCACTCTCGACATCAAGTACAGTCTGGCACGTAGCGAGTTCTTCCACTTCTTCACCAAGGGCGACATGATGGGCTTCCGTCAGTCGCTTCGACATCTCCTAGACGCGCTACGTGAAGAAGTCTACGGTATCAGCATCGGTGGTCCACTTCCCAGTTTTAACTCCGGTGGTCAATTACCCAGCTTCAACGGAAGCAGTCTTGGTAATGGGAGCGATGTCCAGCTTCGTGGTGGATTTGCAGACTTACGAGACAGCTTCATGTCGGCTGGAGGCTCCTACAATCCGTCATTCCAAGGCCCAGTTACTGAGGGAAGCATGCGTAGACGGCGTCCAAACTCTCACAGTCTTTTTGCCAGCTCTCGGAGTGACACGTCCAACTTCGGGCTGCCTCCTACTCGACTCTCACAGACTTTCGCTGAGACTACGGGGACTACACGCAGTGTGACGTCGGATATGAGTCTCTCCCAGTCCATGATCGGCAACTTCTCGACTCTAGTTGGACGGATCACGGACGACCTCGATGAGGAAGACGAACACATTTCGTACGCTGGAATCCAGGACGACGACTTTGATTCGGACGAAGAGGTGGAAGTGGGGGAGAATGGTAAAGTGCAAAGGGTGCAGGAGGAAGCCCCGTCGTTCTCGAGAGCGATGCAGCAACATCCTGCACTGGGCGCTCTCTCCAGTGACGGCAGCTTCGACACTCGCCAACGAGGGTCCAACTCGTCCATCAGTATGCTGGAGCTCACGGAATCTAGCGACCCTATCAACATCAGCTTCGATGCCATGCTGGGCGACAAAACACCAAAGAAGTAAGTAAGTATTACCCTTTTTCCAGACAAAATGTTCCAAGACGAAACAAGTGCTTGTTGTAGTGCGCTCGCTTTATTATTATGTAGAAGTAAGCAGCGAGTTAATCTCGCCATCTACACACAATTTCGCGCGGTGGTGTTATAATACAACTAATAGCATCATTAGCGTAAACTCTTGTGTAGCTTTGCATACCGAATTTGCATACATGGCATTACTGTTGAAAAAAAAAAAAATGCTGCAAGTGGAAACTGAAATCTGACTACCCAACGCTTTTGCTGGTTTTACTTGTCCTTGAAGCTCTCCGTGGCTGGCTTGTCCGACGCCCTGCAACATAAAAAAATCACATTTCTAGTCGGATTCGATGTCGTAAAGGAGACTTGAAAACTAAAATACGTACGTTGGTAGCCCCGCACCCTTGAGCAGCTCTTGAGCGTACGTATTGTGTGCCAGCTTCGTCTGGAGACTACACATCACATGCAGCAACCATGTTAGTTCTGTATCCGCTATTTCAATCAGAACTGATAATATGTCACGCACATTTCTCTCGCTTGGGCCGCGTGTGGAGCTTTATCACCTGGAAGCTGTAGCAGCTCCGTGAGCAAATCCGTACGAATGTTGCTCGTACTCATCGACGTTCTAGCACCGATCGCACCACCGACTACGCAGTTCACGTTAGCACTCCCGCGATGTTATTCGATCAAGAGCGATAGCTCACCTAGCACTCCTACAACACCCAAGGGTGTTCCAAACGCAGCCACGTTCCAGATTCCTGCCATCGCTGTAGCTCCTAAAAGTCCACCGAAAGCGGCGCGTCGGGTACCTTTCTGGCGGTATTTCACGAACACGTCGCGTTCGGCTGGCGAGACGTCCCTATTCGCACCGAGAACACAGTAAGTATAAAAAAATCATCGTGGACTCTAGATACGATCGCAGTAACGTACATCCAAGGAGGACGACCGAATCCTCGGGGCCCAATACCCCACGGAGCAAATCCACGAGGTGGGCCGTAGCATTGGGGATCTTGGCCATCCTTCTTGGCAAACATCTCGGAGCGCATGGTGTACATGACTTCGTACTGCTCGGACGTCATGTTGGACATCATCGTGCTGGAATTTCGGGTGTTGAGTGGAGGAGACTTTTCTGTTGGGAAGCTGGAAAATTGAAATGTGAGCTTTTCCAACGACGATGTGTTTCCCGGGAGTAAACGTTGGTGTTGACGCCGGAAATATCATTCTGGTGATCAGAATGAATGTGCAACTTGATGGGCGCACTTTTGTACTGAACTATGAAAACTTTCTTAACTGCTTCTTACCAACATACGCAGAAGTTCTGAGTCCGACAGAACCCTATGTTTCACTTGACTACGTGAGTTTTGGAGATAATGAAAACTCCTAGTCTCGCATGTGATACTTGACATAACAAATTGTTTTTAACGAGCAGGAAGGTCCCTCAAAGTCTTAGTTGGATGGCCTTTTTCATTATGAAATACTACAGTAATATGTCTTAGCGAAATGATTTTGTATATAACTCTGGTTAATGAACTCGGCAATGGTTCTCTAACAACAACAAAAAGATTTCGTTACTACTATCCGTTCGTAGCCGCGGTTTCAAAAGCAGGTTTGTTATGTTATCACGTAGCCCCACGGGCACGAATCTCATGGTTCCGACCCATTGAGAAGCTCCTGTGCGAAAGCGTTGTGCGACAGCTTCGTTCTGAGGCTATAAGCACATACACATACGCAGAAATGTCAACTGTACTATGCCATCGTACCAAGTCTTGAGGAACACGTACATCTCTCTCGCTTGAGCTGCCCGCGGTGACCTCTCGCTAGGAAGTTTTATCATCTCGGTCATCATCTCTTGGCGAATGCCGCTGGTGCGAACCGAGACCCTGGCGCCGATAGCTCCACCCACTGCAAGAATCAACGATCGATGGATAGCGTAAGACGCTGTAGACATCCACCCGAGCAAAGTACACTTATTGTACCAATCATTCCAGCAAACCCCAATACACTGCCCAGCGCGGTCACTTTCCAGACGCCTGCCATCGCTGACGCCCCGATGATTCCACCGAGAGCTGCATGTTTTCTTCCTTTCTCTCTGTATTTCATAAGCACACCCATCTCAGCTGAGGTGACGTCCTTCCTGCTCGTTCAAAGTACACATTGGAATTAGAATCGATATCGGGGCCCCGAGTGCGATTCGGAGAATCAGCAAGTACGTACATCCAGCCCAGAGAGCCGCCACGTCGTCCACCATGACCAAAGTGTCCAGGGCCATCAAATGCCCAAGAACCAGGACCAAATCCCCAAGTTCTAAAACCCCAAGGCCCGGGACCACCACAACTCCCCGGACCGAATTGTCCTGGGGCACCAAATACACCTGGGCTGATCCCCTTCTTGGCGAGTTCGGAGCGCATTGTGTATAGGACCTCGTACTCCTCGGAAGACATCATAGCGCTGTTTTACTGGTAACGATTTACGTTTGTGAGGATCGTGGCGAATGGCAAATTGAGTGTGAAATCCGAGATAAGCATACACTACTGGTCAGAATGTTTGTTCAGGGGCGTCAACGGGTCAAGTTGATGGTCATGCAACTTGCTGGCTCCTCGATCGCTGGTAGCAAATTATAGTACAGTTTGGATGCCAATATGCTGATTACCACGTGATTTTTCTTAAAACCCCTCTGAGTTAAGTTGTGAGCCCCGGGAATATGGACGGGGACTCACGACTTTTACGTATAGATCTTCCTGCAGTCTGCCTCCTTCACACTTCTTAATTTTTCAGAAAGCCACTAAAATGAGCATCAATTTGGAGTAGAAAACCAAAGGCGCTAAGTTTCGCAACGGCGGTTTCAAGGGGGGGGGGGGGGGATTCACGGTCGTTCCTCTGTCATTTTAAGTTTGAAAATCAATATGCTTCTACAATAACCTATGTCAAGGCACACAGCAAACTTGAGTGTACAGACCGGCGTTTTTTTGTCCCGGCTAAAGTGAACTAATGTGACTCTAGGCCTACGACTGTAGGCAAAGTCAAAGTACTTATGCATTATAATCTATCTGCCGCGCCCGCTGACGATATTGCCCTCGTCGAAGTCATCTACACCAATCTACTGGTGCCTAGCGTAGTCGTAAGCGTTCAAAAATGCATGCCAGCTCGTCAGAAGTGGCATGTATGCGATGACATATAGTATGCCTTGACAAAGGTTATTCGGTAGTGCATTACACGCAGATCACCCTAAAAAAAATACTGAACATTCTGACCCATAACTCTTGCTTTGTCGAAGCTACTCAGCTGGCTCCTTCTGCTCTCTTACAAGGCTCTTCTCCACCACGTACCCCCTTCTTCCCTTGAAGGCGAAGGTTATGCTCTACGACATGAGATCTGTTCGAATAGATTCGTACGCTCGGTGGGGCTTACTGGCGACGGATGCAGCTGGTTCTGGTACGTCATGAATTCTTCTTTCTGTTGGTCCTTGGCCAACGTGGAGGCGGCCTCTAGTTTGCTAAGAGCTCGTACGCGAGCATCACGAACGCCGAATAATCGGTGATAGCACGCGCCTTGTCCACCAAGTCGCACTGCTGATTGGATTAACACCTGTAAACGGAGGTGATTATCGTTCTGAACGCCACTCGCGTCCTCGCTGTCGGGTTATTGCTGTTCAAGTCACACGACAGGAGTCACGAGACTAGGACACTACGCCGCTTCACAATCGTCATGTCACAACAGTGGTGTAGGAGCAATCTCCATTTCCTTCGCCTGCACCTTGCGATTGAGGCGTTATATTGTGTCGAGTTTCTGGCGTTACAGTATGTAACGTGGGCAAATGAAATTTTGACTGGAGCAATATTTCAGAATTCGAACCATTTTATTTCAAATGCATGTATCCAAATTCGGTCAGTTTTATTTCATCATTTAAAACCGCGCAAATTTTACACATGCACAGTAAAAACTATCATTATGGTGGACGCAATTACGACCATATTAGTTTGATTCAAATCACTAAATTTAAGAATACTGATGCATTCTTAACCCCAGAAATTTGAGATTTCAATTTTGACCCAGCTAGTTGTCCTCCAGTGTCCTCCTCTACCTTAATATAAAGTTTGATGTCTTGTTAACGCGTTAAACCTGCGTGGGTTCAAACGGACTCGTATTGATGCGTGAAGCCCTCTCCCCACGAAGCACTCGTGTTTTCGGTCTGATCGGCCATTTGTCCTATCGATAGGACAAATCGGTAGGAATGACTGCACTTGGTCGCGCGATAAATCATTGCTGTACGCTATGTCCTAAAGCTTGGTTCGTGCCAGACGAGCTGAATGACGGCGTGGCTGAGGCGTCAAACGTGTAACCCGCCGCTCGTTGGGCTCTACAGAGTTTCGAGGCCTTTTTCGAGTGGGTGGTGGCGGGCGAATATGTGGAGCCCGAGTTTCTGGGACCTGCTCGCATGGGTTTGGGAGCTTGGGGTCTGTATGAAATACGTCGAAGCAGCTTCGACCATCCCAACGCTTAACGTTGCATAAGGGAACGGTGCAAACAGTGCACTGGTTTCTAGTCTTGTTTCCGTGCCTGGTGTGAGCCGCTTCATTTCTGGGACGGTTTTCTTTATCATGGCTTCTAACGCGACAGCACACCAAACAACTAAGCTGTTGCGTTCCAGGTAAAAGTTCCTGTGCTTCTCTCAAAGCACCATCGCTACTTTTGTCATCTTCTTCTTCAGAGCTGGTAGCTTTATTGATCTCTGTGCCATAAATCTCGGGAAGAGCTGCCGCTGCATCAGGACAAAAAGAATGAAGCGTGGAATTTCTGCACTTCTTCTTTTGATATGCGCTGTACGACTTGCATTTATCTGTGTCCATCAAGAACGAGTAACTCTACGTGCACCCCCACAATCGTTAAGAAAGAATCTACCGAACGTTCGTAATGCAGAAGAATACCTCAAGCAACTGTGTCGTCTGGTAAGCATTGTAAGCCAGTGTCATTAAAATGCGTATCCAGATCACAGCCAAAGGTGCCAGATGGGCGTGACGGGCTTTCATATTCTTTAGATACCGAGAGTATACGTCGATCCCGCCTTTCACTCTGTTCCACTTTGCGATGACAGTTGGTACTATTTGATGTGCTGCAGGCAGTGGCCGTCCGCGTGTCTCCACCTTCGTTGTTAATGCTCTCCACTAGCTCAAATGCTGTTTAAGAGTGGCCGTATCAACGCAGTGACCAAGTTCTTCTGCAGAAAAATTTGGCAGCGGTGTATCCGGTGAGTATATCCAACTCAAACACTTGTCCTTGATAGTCGAAAGTGCAAGCAAATATGCCTCAGCAACATCTTCACTGACAATGACGTGAACCACTCGCAAAAAATGTCGTTTTTGAGGCGTAAACCAAGAAACCATTTCTCAATGATGCAATGATGATGTTGTGCAGTATTTGAGAGCGGTGGAGAACGAGGACGGAGAAGACGACGAGGTGGAGGATATCTGCGACTTTGACATGCGTGAGCTGGACGAGGCCGACGAGGACGACGGGATGGAGTTCCACGACTCGAATGTTGGGCTAGACTTCAAGCTCCAAGGCCTCAACTTGCAGGACTACCAAGGTCTCGATGAGCTTGAATAAGGAGATGAGGAATTCGACGAGGACGTTGAAGAGGAGATCCATACTTGAGATGGATGTCCGCCTTGGGCTCCAAATACACGACTCAGTACGCGCTGCATAACACGAGCCGTCTCCAGTCTTGCTTTGGATAAGAGAAAAGCGTCGGTGTCATCCACGTTGAGCTGGACGGTGGTGGCTTGATGAACTTCCATCTCGCGGCTTCCTCTGTGATCTCATCAACCTGATCCTCATCTCCATTGTCGCTGTCTGACAGTAGATCATCGTATGGGCCTTCATCCATAGCGAAATGCGGTATAGGCATCTCCATATCGAACCACACTGCTGTTTTCGACGAGATCTTGCAAACTCTGCTTATCAAACACGCAATGCGGAATAGTTAGTAAGGCCCACAAGCTTCTGCTGGTAGCACCGCTGCACTCAGACGCTCTTATAGGCTGTAAGGACACTTCACCTCGAAACGTAGTGCCTGTGAACGTGTGCGGAAGCGCTCCTCGTTCGTGTTTCCTTTGAAGGACGCCGAAGAGTGTTTGTCCTACTGAATTCGCGTGCTAGGACAAACGAACAATGTGTGTACCACACCAAACGCAGTTTTGTCCCCTCTCTTAGGACAAAATTAGACTGGGGTTAATAAGCCACGGTTCGTCGTCGTGATCACCACCATCACCACTGCTGGCCTCGCCGCCAATCCATAAACGAGGGTGACCGATCAAGGCAAACGCCTGCTGTAGTGCGCGCAAATGTGGCGGCCCTCCTGTCAGTGAGACGACAGAGTATGACCGCTCACGTAGCGCGATTTTTTTTGCGAGCTTACCCTGGGCAGGATACTACTGCTAACGATAATGTGTTTATTATTATTATATTAGCCTTAGTTGAGCAATTCGGTTCAGGTTGGACCAGGCAACATTACTTTTGGGCTGAAGTGTCTGCGGTATCATTAAGGTTCGCACTACCTAAATCATGTGTATTTGTTACAGCAAGTCACTTTGCTATCATACATTCGGCTTCGGGACGCTAACATGAAATTTCCGAGTAATTATTCAACAAGCTACGTTCAGGCCTGTTAAGGTAGGGCGTTTAAACGGAGTAGACTTGATAAGTTTGAAGAAAATGAAGTTGTGATTGAGAAATTGTAGGTGGCGATCCTGGATCGCTCGTGTGTATAGCATGGTATAACTGATGTAACACCACTGATTAATATTTTCTGCGGTTACACAGACATCGTCGGTGAAAACACCCATGGCCTTGTCAAATCCAAATTATTAGCAAATCAAATTAGTGCTCTTTTAGAATCCGAAATATTCACAAATTATGTGCGAAGTTTTACTATGGGATTGTTTGCCATGTGGTGGAGTCTTTCAAAGTCGTTGCCTGTATACTTCGTGAAAAGAGATAATAATACATTTTCTTCGAATTACATATGCCTCGTGATCTCTTTCTAGAACAGCGCTACCGTCCAGGTATTTTTTCAAGTATTGCCCAGGTTCTAGCCTTATGGTGCCAATCGATTGCCCGGATCCTAAGAAAGTACAATATATGTCTCTTCAAGTACATTTAACTACCAACACCCGCATGTGTGGTGAGTTCCTTGTATGGAACTAAGATTCATATAAAAAGGTAATCGCAGAAGGTATGCTGTGATATTCTCTAGAAACGAGCACTGAAATCGATATTTTACGCATTTAGCATGAACCAATCAAAACCCGAGTTCGATACCGCTAGCCTTTCCGTTTTCTATCAAGCAAGAGCAGTAGCTGTACTCCCGATGGCACAAAGTTCAAAATAAATATGATACTCCCGTACTAATGAGAAAAGAAAATGCATTTGGAAGAATATATACAATATAACTTGCGCCGATGTTGTCAATTACATCGAGCTGGCTAGTCACTACTGCAAAATAGTGAGACTGCTCCAAGTTTTACGTAACAACGATCTTGGACTCGTAAAATCTCTTATAAGCGCGGTACTTATTCAGAGCAGGGTTGTTTCTTACATACGACTGTTTCAACTCCGGGTTTAGCTTCAGCGCCACGAAGAATTCGTCAGGAGTGACCTTGTTTTCAACCAACACAGTATCCGAAACTCCCTTCTTGATCATTCGCTTTACCTTTGCAATCCTTTGTTTCAGCGCCACCGTCTGAATCGGTTTTGAGCTAGCAACCGAAGTCTTTAAGCTTTGAGTCCACGTTTTCATCTTCGCAGCAAGCTCCGTTATTCCTCGCTCTTCCCCATCAGTGTTCACGTCGTTGTTAGCCCGAAGTATGCGTTTCTCGGCGACGCTCCACTGAACATCCTGGTCCAGCTCCGACTGCGGCACCTCGAGCTGCATTCCATGTTCGGTTGCTGCGAGAGCGTTACTGCTGGAGAAAATAACGAAGGCCAAAGCGAAGAAAAGAAAGAGATTGCGCATTGTAGTTGAAAGACGACCAAGTGAGCTCTTTTCAGGAAGTCTACGAATGAGAGAGAAGCAGTACATACCGTCTTCTTCAATTCCATTCCAAATGTGCTAACCATATGTATGCTCATGGATCGTCATTTGTTTGTTTGATTCCGATCTGCGATCCGTTACGCGAGAAAATCGTACCTTGCGCACCACGTAAACATGTATTACGAGGCTAGGCATGCCGCATGAGGCAGCATTACTAAGGAATACGAAGCAAAGCAGAGGTGCAGAGAATATGTTTACTGGTAGCAAGACGGATCAGCATCAAAAGGGATTAACAAGAACCCTCCAGCGCTCAGGTTCGAACTGGGCCTGCCCCGTGAAGGCTGCTTGGGCGTTGAAACTACATTGCCTACAGTCGTCGATCGGGTCATCCGTGCCAATTTGCTCAGTCCACCACAGTGTGTTCCTTCAAGTAACGACATGCATGAGCCAATCCGGCTGGCAGCTACGACGCTTCGTATGGACGCTAGCAGGTTGGGAACCCACTCGCTGCGGAGCGGTGGAGCTACAGCTATGTTATCGTCCGGGGTGGGTCACCTCGCAATTAAGATGTTCGGTCGCTAGAAGTCGGACGCATATGAAGCCTACACGAGGATGGACAGCAGAACGACAGCCCAACTCGCAGCAAGAATGTGCTTCGAACCAGAAGATCCAGTACAGCCCGGCTACGCCGGTGTGGCGGCATCCGCCACCTCGTGGTGATCTAGCTGTAACTGGAGTTTCAATGTACAAGCGATTGCCCCCGTGTCGAAGTGAGTGCAGATTGAAAAGCTGATAACAGCAACGGACAACATCGACACAGACAAATTCGCCACATACATCTCTCTTGCCTGAGCCGCGTGCGGTGACTTGTCGCTCGGGAGCTTGAGCATGTCGGCGGTGACCATGTCTCCACTTGTGCGCATCGATACGCCAGCACCGACCACGCCGCCAACTGCAGCAAATCACAGAAGGGTTAGTCAGCTCAGTGTAGAAGAAGGAGGATCTAAAGCTGCAACGCACCGATCATCCCCATGACACCCATGGCCCTAGCCAGTTTGGCCATCTTCCAGACGCCAGCCATTGCTGACGCACCAACCAGTCCACCCACAGCAGCGCGTTGCTTGCCCTTTCTGGCGATACTTAATGAAGACGCCCCTCTCCGCCGGCGTGAGATCCATCCTGCAAATAATTGGCCCGTTAGAGCCTGGATTCTAAGCAAAAGCAGTCAAAAGAGTTGAGCACAGCCGTACATCCATCTGCGGCCACCATTACGGGGACCATCGAATTGATTGGGACCGGTGGCATCTCTGTTCTTGTCGAATATCTCGGAGCGTAGTGTGGACATGACTTCGTATTGGTCGGAGGACGAGGAGGAAGTGGGGGAGAACATGGCGATGGTGGTTAACTTGGTTGGATTTGCGTTGGTGGAGCTTGTAGCTTGTGCGGTTGAGTTGCTGAATTGGTTTCTGAGTACGTTAGGCGGCGGAGGGCTCAGCTAAGACTCGATGCTTCTTTGCGGTAAGATGTTGAAGTAAAGAATGGTTGTTGCAGGGGAGCCGTGATGACAACGAGAAACGGCTGTTTCGGACGGTCGTGACTATTACAGTAAAAAAAAATCAATTCCCAGACCTGCATTCAATCCCCAGGTAGATTCGATATTACATGGTTAGGCGCAAATAGATTCGCACAATATGTGCTTTGTTTAGTACTAATATAAAACCATTGGAATGGATGCCGTCATCTATGTGCAGATAGTAATGCGGCATTGGCAATGTCACCTCCTGGTGCGGTGTTGTATCGCCAAGAGAGTAGAATGCAATATACTAAACGTATTTACTACGGCTTAAAACTGAACAGGATGACATTGATGATAAAAGCAG